AAGCAAGACAGTCCTCCCAGAAGGAGCTGGGCTTACCCAAGAGCTGGGGCTGCTGCTGCTCCCTGGGCAGGGAGAGGGCAGGCATGGGGCACGGGATCAGCTGTCCTCGGGGCAAGACCAGTGCTTTTAATCCAAACTTGATGTCCCAGCCTCCTGGAACTTCCGAGAGCGGGTGTAGGTCTGGCTGAGCCAAGCTGCCCAGCCCCCTAGAGATCCAGACACGCTCTCTTGAGGCTCAGAGGCTCACAGTGAGGGCTCATCCCAGGCGGGCTCTGTCTCCCCAGGAGACTCCAGGTCAGGATCCGGCTGCCTCTGCTGAGAAATCTCCCCTCCCCATGAGACAGCCATCCCACGCAGATCAGCACGGCCTGAATACACCCTGCTCCATGTCCTCAATTATTCATTTACACCCCCGCCGCCTGGCTGTGTGTCATCTGGCCGCTCTTGGCTGCAGTGACCGGACAGAGAGAGGGCATGGCATAGCCCCGGGCAGTGGGCAGTGGGACGGGAAGCCCAGCACTGCTTTCGCTCCTCCTCTCCCACCACCAGCACCCCGTCCGCCTGCAATTGAACCCAGATGCCAGGAAATATCTCGGTTGTACGGCTGAAGTGAAACACATGGGTACGGTGAAAGCTCCCCTCTGTTACAGTTTCATTACCTACTATCATTCCTGGAAACTCGCAAATGGAGAGGGAGACCTCTGAGGCCAGCATCTGGGGCTCCATGGGCAGGCACGGCATAGACTAGCCAGGAGAGGCACACACGTGTCCTGTGGGCTGCCGGACTAGGAGAAAGAATGCAAGCTGGTGGCCCGGGGCCTAAGGGGAAGCAGGGGAAGGACAGAAGGCCCTCCAGCCCGCTGTTTCTGAGCCCTGTTTTTAGCTGCTTTCCCAAGAAACTTAAGATCCCAGATCCTAGTCCTGACTCACACTCGCTGGCTGTGTGATGTCGGGCAAGTCACATCACCTCTCTGAGTTTCTGTTTCCTCTTTAGTAAAGTGGTGATAAAAATGCCTTCTTCTCGGAGTTGTTGCAGTGTGGCAACGTACCTCGGGAGTGGAAAAATAGTCTGAGTACATGGATTTATGAAGCAGACCCCCAAGCCTTAATCCACAATTCCTAGCCCCTAGAAGCTCTGAGAACCAAAGCTTTTTGTAACTCATTTGGCAGCAAAACGTGAGCTGACCTGATATGAGACCATTTATTGAATTTATTTATCCCCCTTGGTATGAATATTCATGTTTTGCTGCAAAAGTACCACTATGTTTGATTCTGGGGTGCTAGATTGATGTGTTTATATATCTCTCTCTCAAATCCAAAAAGTTATGAATTCTGAAGCACATCTAGCCACAAGGGGTTTAGGTAGGGGCTTGTGAACCTGTTTTTGGAAATGAAGGGGAAATTAATTTGTTTTTAGGAGATTAAAAAAAATAGGATGTCTGAGGAAGTGCTGGATTTGAAGCCTTTTTTTTTTCTTTTTTTTGCTGAGGAAGACTCATCCTGAGCTAACATCTGCTGCCAATCTTCCTCTTTTTGTTTGAGGAAGATTTGCCCTGAGCTAACATCTGTGCCAATCTTTCTCTCTTTCCTATGTGGGTTACTGCCACAGCATGGCTGCCAACAAGTGGTGTAGGTCTGTGCCTGGGAACTGAACCCAGGCTGCCGAAGCAGAGCACACCGAACTTAACCACTAGGCCACTGGACCGTGGCCTTTAAAGCCTTTTTTAAAAGCACCCCTTGGGGTTGGCCTCCTGGCCGAGTGGCTAAGTTCACGCGCTCTGCTTCGGCGGCCCAGGGTTTCACCGTTCGGATCCTGGGAGCAGACATGGCACCGCTCATCAGGCCATGCTGAGGCGGCGTCCCACATAACACAGCCAGAAGGACCCACAAGTAAAATATACAACTACCTACTGGGGGGCTTTGGGGAGAAGAAGAAGGAAAAAAGATTGGCCGCAGATGTTAGCTCAGGTGCCAACCTTTAAAAAATTTAAAAAATTAAAAAAAAATAAAAGCCCCCTGTAGCACCCAGGTGTTAGCGGTGCCCAGGAATAATCACTCGGCATGTTTCTCAAGCACTAGTTACATATCAGGCACCGTAATGATGCTTTATTAATGTTATCTGTTGTCACCTCCCCATGGGCCTGTGAGACGTGCACTGGACTTTCTCATTCACTGGCCGAGGAGATGTGGGTGACTTGCTCATGCCAGCAAAGCTGAGCAGAGGCAGGCTCACACCTGCTCTGACCCACTCCAGGGTCAGTGCTCCCAGGAGCCATGAAACCGTGAAGCAAGGAAGGGGGTCTCCTGGAGGGGGTGGACGGCAGTGGTGAGGGCCTGGGAGAGCGAGGGACACTTGGCCTGACATCGCAGTGCAAGGCCCCTTCTGTGGCTCGTCACCTGCCCCGGCTCCAGAGCTGGGCCGTCCAGCTGCAGGACGCTCTCCACAGGCTCAGGCCTCCATGTCCTTCCCACGAGCCTCTGCCCCTTTCCTGCCTCCAGCAGGGACGCCGACCCTAATTGTTCCGACGCCCACTTCCTTCTCCCCACTGTCCCACTGTGGGGTCACGTGCTCCCACAGTCCCCCTGGCCCTGTCCTGTCGGCTGGGATTCTGAGTTGCCTTATCCACCAGACGGGCATCATAGTTTCCAAGCAGCCCATCTTGGAGTGGTTGGTCAGGCCAGCAAGGTCACAAAGTCAGTGGGAGTAGGGCACTCGACCACTGCAGGGCTCTTAGGCAGCTGCCCTGAGGAGCAACGCCGGCAGCAGTTTCCCTGGGGACACCGCAGGGGCCTCCCACAGGGTCAAGCGACTTCTGGGCCATCTCCTCAGCTGCCCCCACTGCCCTCAGCAGCCTGAGAAATCCGCCCTCGCTGCCTGCTTCCTCTACAGACTCAGCCCGTGGACAGCAGCCTGGGCCTGGGGTCTGGCTTTGTTTTTTAATTAGACGAGGGGACTATGAACACGTTATTAGCAAAAGAAAAAATACACAGATGCACAAAGTAATCGGTAACAATTCCGCTTCATCCCCCTCTCCCACCCATTCTCTCCCCGGCGGACTACTGTTTACAGTTGGGTATGTATCACTGCGCTCCATTTTCTTGGCGCTCCGTTTTGTTGGCTTTCATTTACGCATATGTATCATTTGGACTTGTTTTGGGCGTTTTATATACGCACCTCACATAGTGTTCTGCAGTTTGCTTTTCTCTGCTTACCATATGTCTTGGAGAGCTTCCCACGTCAGTTCATATAAGTCTGCCTCATTCATTTTAGCTGCCACCTCATAGCCACCCTGTGGATGCACGGGGGCTGACATAGCCATGCTCCCACTAATGAACACATAGGTCCTCACGAACATCCGTGGATGTGTACCTCCCTGCCCACAGTTTCTTCACAGTGAACATCCGTGGATGTGCACCCCTCCGCCCGCGGGCCCTGACGGTGAACATTCGCGGATGTGCACCCCTCCGCCCGCTGGCCCTCAAGGGGAACATCCGTGGATGTGCACCCCTCCGCCCACGGTCCCTCACGGCAAACATGTCTGTATTGGTACTGTTGTGCCCATGAGTGATTACTCTCTAGAAGAGGAATTTCTGTGACAAAGAATGTGCCATTCTTTTATTTCTGCTAGCTTCTGCCTAATTGCCCTCTAAAAGTCTGAATCCATTTAGACTCTCACTAGTCGCATATCAGAGTGTATGGCAGCAGCTATGCTAGCTGACTGGGTCCCGGGTTTCCTGGTAGGTGGCTCTGAGACGGCTGGGACCCACTCCCCGCCTGGAGAAGTCAGCTGGGCTGTGGGAAGGGCATCCCGCGTGGGAGGGTGGGAAGGTGGACACGGGTTGTGCGTGGGTCACACTGTGGGTAATGAGTATGTACAGTGATTACAAGCTGGTGATTTGGACCCCAAAAGACTTGGGTTTGAATCCTGGCTCCACCACCCAAGAACTGTGTGATCTCCAGCAAAGAGAACTTTCCTGAACCTTTTCATCTGAAAAATCGGAGTGACAAGAATTGCATCAGGCAGCGCCACGGCAGAGGGCCTCGCGGGAAGGCGCCGTAGCGCAGTTAGTCCGGGCCCTCCGTGGACTGCACGGCAGGAAGCAGAAACTGGCGTTTTCTATTATGACTGTTATTATGTTATGACTGTTAATATCTGGGCCCTGGCTCCAGAAACAGCCCCCTTTTCTCTGGGGCCCTCCCATCCCTGCCTGTGTCAGCCACTGAGCCCTGCCCAGACCGGGCACCATGTCAGCTGGCCGGTGGCCGTTACATGGCGCCCACTGTGTGCAGAGGTCAGAGCCCCAGGGAGTGGGGATGGCACCCAGGGGGCAGGACAAGCAGTTCTGGCTTCCAGGCTGGAAGGGTAGACAGGACGCCACCGGATAAACACCAGTAAACAGAGGTGGGGAGGCTCGCACACAGGCGGTGCTAACGCAGCTCCTCCGAGAGAAACACGGCGGAGCCAAGGCACCAGGTGGGAGCAGAGGGAGTGGGGCGGGGGCGGGCGTAGGGGGCTGAAGGTGGGGGCGGGAGGCGGCGGGCAGAGCGCAGCCGGGCAGATGGCGCAGCCTGGGAAGGGGAAGCGGAGGCCGGAAGTGGGGCGGAGGCGGGTTGCTCAGAAGGGGGCTGTGCGCCTGGCAGCCACTGTGGAGGAAGGTGCCCTGGACTCGCCGCCTCCAGAGTCCTCGGTTCAGTTCCCTGTCCTGCCTCTTGCCAGGTGTCTGGCCTTGGGTAAATTTTTCTCCTTTTCTGGGCCTTGATTCAAGAGCGACCACCTTTTCTCCAGTGCCCTGTGCCCCGGACTTGGTTAACCCTTTACTCGTTTAATCCTCACAATAACCCTATGAGATTGGTATTTGACTCAGAGGTTAAGTAACTTGCCCAGAGTGGTTAAGTAATCTGCCTAAAGTTACCCAGCTCATAAATGGCAGAGCTGGGGTTAGCACCTAGGCCTAAGCACTTAGCTGCTGGTGGGAGGAAGGGGTGGGGAGGGGCATTCACAGACAGGAGCCTTTGGCTCCTCATGGCCTGGACTGCTCCTGGTGATGAGGTCTGCCTGGTGGGGATGGGAGAAGGGCCCTGAGTACCCTTCTGACCCGAGGCCAGGCCTATTCTGCCAGCTGGCGGGAAGGGACAGGGAGCTGCGGCCTGATTCCCCTCGGCCATGCGGCCCTGCTTCTTGCTCGTGGGGCTGGCTCTGAGATCTAGGCTCAGGAAAGAGGGAACTTCTCACCGCCTGGCCCCCCTGCCAGTGGCCCCGTGGCTGTGGTCGCTGGTGGTCCCCAGTGGCCGGGATCGCTGCCGGCAGGCAGTTCACACAGCTGCCGTGCGCGGCAGCCAGACTCCTCGGCAACTCCCCAGCGCCGAGAGAATATTCCAGGACAGCTTGGAGTCATTAGGTACTCTCTGCTCACTGCTTGTGATGAAAGCTGGGTTTCAGGCCCAGGGCCTCTCCTGCTGCCCGCCTTTCTCTCATTCCCCCAAATAGCTGGCAAGCCTTGTGAGGAGAGGGGATGGGAATGTTGCTCAGCCCCCAACATCGCTTGCATTCTCCAGATTGATTTCACTCTTCTCCCCATTCTTCCTTTTCCTGCTGCTCAATTTGAAATGAACCACTATGGCCCTTGGAAGGCAATGAAAGGAAAGCCGGGTTCTGGCATTGAGTCTGCTGTGTGATTTTGGGCAGGTCACATAACCTCTCTGGACATCTGTCTGTTTTGTTTGTCAGCAGGAACTCCCGGTCCCTGCCGTCCCTCCCACTCTGTGGAGATGAGGAAAGCGTGTGTGGAAAGCACTAATGTGGGAAAGCAGATGCTCACAGGGGCTGGAACACATGTTATCTGGGGGGTCAGGCCTCGGTCAGCCCGGAGGACACTGAAGAATAGAACCGAATGGGCATTCAGGGGCATCTAGCAAATCTGCCCCACTCGAAAAGCGGGGAAGCTGAGGCCCAGCCAGTGACGGAGAAAGCTGGGCTTGGAAGTTGGCGTTCCTTCCGCTGGGCCCCCTTGCTATTTGATAATGACGCTGGCGCACTGACTTCCAGGGCATTTGTGTGCCAGCCCCAAGCCCTAGCCCTTTCCGTGGGGCGTGCCCACTCACCCTTGTGAGGCGGGTCAGGTGGCGTCCAGCAGGAGAGAGACTGGAACGGGACACTCGCTGTGCCCAAGTCTGCCTGCTTAAACAGCAGCCTTTCCTGGGCCTGGAAAACTTGAGAGGAAATCTATGCTGTGCTGACACAGAAGGAGAGACTCTCCTTCAGCACCTTGCTGTCCATTGGGTGAGAGACAGGATTAGACATGTTTGCTGGGCCCCGAGGAGCACGTCCACCTTCTGGGCCCAATGTGGCTGGCACAGGTGCACGAAGGGGTGGACACCTCTCCCATGCCACCTCCTCAGCTTGTGCCTGGGGAGGGGGCGGCCCAGAGCAGGTCTCAGGGCAGCGCAGGTGTGAAATCTGCCACAGGAGGAGGCACTTACAGGGGAGGACAAGGGACCAAGGGGCATCACCACCTCAGGTTTGACTCCCAATTCCACCATTTCACGAACTATGTGACCCTGGGCACATGACAACGTATTTAAGCCTCAGTTTCCCTATCTGTAAAAACTAGTGTTCAATATTGACATCCGGAGGGTTTGAAATAACTCGCTGACGCAGGGGATGCTGAGAGCTATGGGAGCCGCTGAACAAAGGGTCGTGTGGGCGGTGGGCTCAGCCTGGGGGGCCTGGACCTGTGGAAGGATGGCTGGGAGGACTCCTCCATCTCCCCAGCACCCTCGTGCTCACAGGTGGCGGCCCCCAGACACCTCTTGGCAGGGCTCCTGGGGGCCCAGCCCCAGCCCCATTCGGGCCAGACTGGCTCTGGCAGAGACTCCGCTTTCTCCTCCAAACAATGTTGTCCTCCCAGCCAAGGGCAGCGAGGCGGGCCAGGGAGCTGACCACGCCTGCCTGCCTGCCCTCCATCTGGGGCGCATTCCTCAGTCTGCCCCCAAAGGTTTTGTCGGCTGTGCAGCGGGGTAGGGTCAGGTGTCCCCGCTTCCCCGGCCTCTGGCCGTCAGTCTCTCAGGGGAGCACCACGGCAGCTCAGATGGCCCTGCACCTTTGTCCTTGAGCTCAGGGATGCTGAGGGTGGCAGAGCAGAGTCGCCCTCCCCTTCTTCAGGCAGGGCCCTGGCGAAGGGCTCTGGCCTCAGGGTTCTCCCCACAGTGCCCAGAAGCCTGTTGCCCCCATCCCAGCAGCTCTGAAGAATAGAGCCCCTTTCGATCTGTCCGGTATGTGCATACTGTGTGTGCTTGTCCGAGTGTGTGCAGGAGCATGTGTGGGTGCATGTGTGCCGAGGGGTCAGAGGGCTGGGGGTGCAGCAGCAGCCCAGGGTCGTGGGGTGAGCTGGCTTCCTCGCCCTCTCCTTGCATTTTCTTAGTTCGGAGCCAGCACAGCTCTGGGTGCTATGGCGACAGCGGGAACGAGAAAGACCCGTCTCTTCTCATGGAGCTCACATTCCGGTGCCAGCAACACACAAGTCACCCGACAAGGTGATCTGAGGGAACACCGCACAGCGGGAAGAAAAGAAAACAAAAACAGAGGGCTGTGGTGGGGCATGGCGAGCACACTGTGCCTTCTCCCCCCTCCTCTGACTTTTGGGGACAGCAGGGAATGAAAAGTGAGGTGCGGGAGCAAGGAAACGCTCAGAGGCGGGGGTGGGGGCCGTGTGAAGACTCTCATGTTGACCCGTCCTGGGCCTGGTCAGCGCATCCAAATGAGACGTCCACCCCATGGAGGGCAGGAGGCCGAGGCCTTGGTCTTGGTGGCCCTGAGTCACACCCCAGGCAGGGCGGCGTCCCTGTCTCTTCTGACAGCCAGAGGGGTCCCTGCCCATTCATTGCAGAGCCTGGTGCTTTGCTGCTGGGGAAAGAAGGGAGAAGAGGAAGACGGAGAGAAAGTTCCATTTAAACTCTTTTGACCAAACCACAAGTTTCCTTCCTTCCTTTCTTCCTTCCATCTCTCCCTTCTCTCTTCCTTCCATCTTTCCTTCCTTCCTTCTTTCCACTTTTCCTTTTCTTTCCCTTTTATTTTTTAAAGAGTAGAAAGACCAAGGGAATATAAACTAAAGAGCTCCTCGCATGAATCAGGCTGTAGGGTTCCCAAACCCCAGGAAGAACGTGCTTCCCCTGAAGGTGGGTCTGAGCAAAGGGACAAAGGAGCTCAAGGCCAGCAGGACTTGTGGCTCAGAGCTGGGGCGTGGGCAGGGCGGGAGCCAGTGTGGGTCTGTGGGGTTCCCGGGAGTCTCTGCAACAGCTGCCTCTTGGGGTCCATATGTGCTACCAGAAGGAGGGTCCAAGAGAGGCAGGAGGGGTGGGCTGGGGTCCTGTGGAGCCAGGGCGCCCTGAGGAGCTGATCTACTCAAAGACAGGTCTTAAAGAGCCTTGGCGTCCGCAGAGTCCTGGCCCCCCGCTCTGTGAAGGTCCCTCTGACCCACAGTAACTCCTGCATTTGTACATTGGTGCCCGAGGGACCCTCTAATCGCTCAGCTCACTGATGGCTTTGCTTCCTTCCCAAAATGCAACCCTCAACAAGAGGCAAAGCCTCAGCCATATCAGTCATTTACTCTTTAATATAAAGGAGCCATCTGGCCCTTTTCTAAGGGCAGGATTTGAATCTGAAGAAGGGAAAGGGCACGAGGATGCTAGGTTTCAAAGAGACAGGACGTCACCTTCGGGGGGCTGGGGGTCACGTGACGGGGAAGACCCAGATGAGGCCGGAGAGGAGCTGGAGAGAGCATTCGCAGACTGCACACTTCGGGGTGGGGCCAACGCCTCCCTGAATAAAATCAAGGCTTTTCAAGGTCCTGATAAACCAGAGTTCAGAAAGTCTCTCTTCCCAGGAACAGTGAATTTTGAGAAGCTGGAGATGGGAAGTGACCTGATCAAGGTCATAGAGCGTAATACCAGCACAGGGCGGCCCTGCAGCCTGACCTCTGCCTGCCTGGGGACAGCAAACCTGCCCTTGTCGGCTCACCAGTGACCTCCGAACGAACGACTGAATGAATGAACAAACGAACGAAGGGGAACTGAGGCCCAGGGAGGCTCCATGGCACATGCAGGGGCACACACTGAGGGTGGTCAGGGAAGCCCTCAGACTCAGGCCCTCCCCAGCCCACTTCAGCCTATATGCAGCCCTGACCTCTCCAAGTTTTCCCGTGTTTTGCCAGATTTGAGTTCAGAGGCTCCCTGGGAGTGACACGGGGACCTGGCTTACTGTCCCCATTTGTCACTGCAGCTCTGACAGGCCATCTGTGTCATTAGTGGTGAAGCGGATGTTGTGACTCAGTCCCCCACTGTAGTCAGTCACACCAGGCAGCAGCTGGTCTCCACATTCCCCACCCTGCCATGCCTGGCCTATGGACTCACAGGGGTTTCAAGAGGAGCCATGGAGACCCGCCACCTTCTCCCCATTGTGCCTCTCTCCTCAGCAGTCATCTTAGTGTGGCACATGCAGACCTTCCGACTCCCTGGTTGGTTCATTAAGGTACAGTAGATGCAAAGGGCCTGTGGCCTCAAAGGAGAGGCAAGAGGAAGACTTTCCAGGAAGTAGGTGCTGGTAGGATCTTCTCCCACGTTTGTGACTGACCTCCAGTGGGGTGGAGGCCCAGAGGCACTTCATCTCTGTGGTCTTGGTAGCTCCCTGTCTCCTGAATTATGGGAGCTCAGGGACAGGAATAAAGCAGCAGTTTCCGGCCTAGTGAGGGCACCCGTGGGCCTTTGCCTGCTGTATCTGCTACTCCATCACCCCAGCATGCAATCAGCAAGTACTCACAGAGCGTCCACTGCATGGCAGGCACTGGGCTGGGCCCCACAAATCCGAGGATGAAGAAGGCATCAGACTGTGCTGAGTTGGTCTTAGGTCCCCAGCCAGGCTGTCACGTTGTCCTCCTGACAGTGGGACATTCCATTTCTCCCAAGATCACACACCAGAGGCAGGTGGCATCGTGGGGGGCCGAGCCCAGGGAGGATGGTGGTTAGAGTGTGTTCATCCCCGTGGTTGAAGGGATTTCTTCCAGGCATCCGGGGTTCTTGCAGACTGGAGCCTGGAGGTGTTTGATGGAGGAGGTGTACCAGGAGGGGTCCTGGGAGGAAGAGACCAGGGAGGAGCTGAGTGTCTCCCTGGAGACACAGCAGAGAGGTCAGGAGTGCGGGCTCTGAAGCCAGACAGCCCGGGCTCCAACCACGGCTCCACGGGGACAAGCGGTGTGGACACAAGGGAGTTACTGAGTCTTGCTGAGCCTCAGTGTCCTCTTCAGTCAAATGGAGACAGTAAGAGGACCTACCTCATAGAATGGCTGTGAGCCTGGGCTGAGCTAACACGGCAGGAGCTCGGTTCAGGGTCTGGCACATGCTGAGGGCTGGATAAATGGGAACTATTGTTGTTATTATTCCATAGGAATGCAGGAAATGCCCAACCCCAATACTATCCGGGATATCAAGGCTGGAGGCACCCTCTATGGCAGTTCTTCCCACACGGCCATTTGACGGAATGAGACTGAGGCCCAGCAACAGCAAGTGACTTATTATCGGTTACTAATAAAATGCAAAGTTGGTGCCGAATCCCAGTCTGCTGACTACCCGATTGGTGCGCTTTCCACTCTCTTCTGCCCAGCTTTTCTCTGGAGTGGACTCAGGAGCCCCTTCAATCCTTGTCCCAGCCCTCCCTTCTTCTCCAGCTCCTGCCACATGGGGAGATTCATGGGCTGTCCCCTAGCAAGAATCTCAGAAGCGGGTTCCACTCTGAGCCAAGGGGCCCTGCAGTGTGCAGACGTGCCTCTCCAGGCCCTGTAGCTGGGAGTGACATCACTGGGACGCAAAGATCAAAGAAGAGCAGGCCCCCCCCACTCCCTTGAACCCTGGCTCTCATCCTTTTCCCAGACTTCCTCCAGCCCATGGCTGTCTGTACTGGGTTCCCAGGGGCATGTGGGGAGCCAGAGGTTAATGATGACAGGTGAGGCAGTCTTCAGGCCTCCTGCACCTGAGAACAAGCTCCCCTCCCAGACCAGGCTGCAGAAGCTGGCCCACAGCCTGGGGCCTGGCCTGTGGGTCCCACCACAGGGCATTTGGCACCAGAGGGAGACAAGGGTGCAAATGGAACACCCCCGCTTGCATCTGGGGTCTTGTCTCTGGCTGAACCTTCTTCCTGCCTTGCCTTCCTGCCTCTCCTCCCTTTCCACCACTTCACATCCATCAAAATCCCAGCACAGTGACACAGAGCTCACACATGTGGCCAGGGCAGGAGCAGGAGGAAGCAGTGGTTATCATGGGGCTGGCCCACAGGAAGCGGGGAAGTCAGCTCACTGTGTTGGGGAGCCACCCGCCCTGAGTGTTAGTCTAAACTCTGCCACAAATTCCCCATGTGACCGCGGGCAAGTCACAGCTCCAGTCTGGGTAGTTTGTCCCTCCATACTCCTTCAAAGGCTCTTCCAGGTCTGATATTCTCGAATTTTTTATGGTGCCTGCCAGCAAGGCCCAACTGGTAACCAAACAGTAAGCACTCGCCATGTTTTGTGCACCTACCGAGTGCTCAGTGCTTTACCCTGGTCTCTGGAAGGACAGGTATATCAGTTAGCTATTGCCACAAGAAGGCTGCATAACAAACAACCCCAAAGCCCAATAGTCACTTATTTTCAGGGAGGTTGGCTGAGATTCAGCTCTGCCTCACACTACTTCTCATTGCAGGTCTGTGGGTCAGCTGGGGAGGTTCTGCTCCTTGCGTCTCTCATTCTCCTGGGACAAAGGGGTGGCCAGGGCATGTTCCTCCCAAGGCAGTGACAGAGGGGTAAGAGGGAAGCAGAAACACACGAAGCCCCCTAAGGAGCCAGTGCATTTTCACTTCTGCCCTAGGCCGTTGGTCAAAGCAAGTCTCTTGGCCTTGTGCAGAGAGAAGAGGCAGAGAAACCGGCTCCACCGTGCCTGAGCTGTGGCGAGGCATGGCTGCCAAAAGGGGTGAAGAAATGGGGCCATCATCCAGTCCGCCACAATGGGAATGATCCAGCCTCTTCGAGTAGGGAGGTGAAAGTGTTCTTTTGTCCTCTTCCTCTGTCGCAGTAGAAGGGGTTACATACAAATACTTCCCCTGACTTCCTCATGTAAGGATTGCAGATTTGATCGTCAAGGCCTCCCTACCATCAGGCAAAGGGAGCTGGTTGGATGGGTCATTAGGCGAAAGAACCTGAAGAGAATAGGGTCTAAGACCAGGATAGGGGTGGGAGAGGGGTTCCCCCAGAGTCTCCCATGAGGCTGGGGGGAAGGTATAAATGGGGGGACGTTTGGGACCTGAGTGTGGGAAGGGTGCCCAAGAAGAGTCAAGTGGCTGATCTGACAAGAGGTCTCGTTGAAGAGCTGTGCTTGAGGGCCCAGGAGCCACGCAGGCTCTGAGTCACCGTCTGCCGCCCAAGAACAGGAAATTTCCATGGCGTGTGCACAGGCCAGCACTGGTTGACCCGTGACTCCACTTACCCCTCGTGAAGTAATCAGGCGAGAGAGAAGCAACCCCAGAGCCACTGGACTTCGCTGAGCCCCATCGGATGATCCGTAGAAGATCCCATCACCCAGGGACCCACGAACAGGTCACTCTATCGTTTTGCGTCCAGAAGAAGAGTACAAATGCTGTCCCACATACCATAGGCCAGAAGTTTTCTCCTCACCCTGATCCAAGCTGGGAAAACTCTGTCCACAAGGTGCCTTCAGTCCCCACCCACAGGGGAGCCCAGGAAGCAGAGGCGTAGCTTCTGCCTGCTCAGAGTCACTGCTGGCTAAGAAAACCAGCCTGCACTCAGGAAGTGTTATTTTAAAAAGGCACATCAAAAGAACGTCTCAGTAGAGCAACCGAAGACCTCGCACGAGGCTCAAGTGAGCAGCAGGGTACCAGAGCACCAGCACTGACGGGAGCATCCAGAACGCACAAGGATGGAGAGATGACTGGCTTGAGTGAGTTCAGGCCAGTTCACCCGCATTTACTCAACCTCTGCCATGCGCCAGGCTCTGTAACAGGCACCGGCAGACAATGCTAAATGAGACGCGGTTTCTGCCCTTGAGGCATTCACAATCTTAACAGAAAGATCTGAGGAGGCTTCAGGGAGGAAGGGATTTCATCTACATTTTAAATAACAGGAAAAATTGGGGTAGACAGAGGATGAGGTGGATGCTTTCCAGGCAGAAGAAAGCAATCCCTGGAAGGAAGGAGGGACTTCCTTCCACAGGAAACTTGGCTTGTAAGAGTTCCACAGGAAAGGGTGATGGATAGTCAAAAGGAGTGACTCTCTAATGGTGGAATTTTCGTAAGTGTGGTGACTGAGGGAGAACGGCCTGTCAGATACCCACAAAGTCACCCACATCCGTAGTCACCCCCTCTTGGATGCTCAAGGCCCATCCTGATTTTCATGGCCTAGAAAAGTTTTCCCGCAGCTTCTCAGATCCACGCCAGGCTCTTTTCCCATTTTCTCTTCCTAAGCTGTGATTCTTTGCTTCTGGAAACATAATACCCCTTCTGAGAGAAGTGCTATGGAAACCTTACCACAAATATGCTCCCGTCCCTGATTGCACTAATTAAAGGAAGGCACTGGTGGAAAAATGATTTGAAGGAAATGCAGTTTTATTATTTTTAAGTTAATCCACTTACTTGAGTGAGCTAACCACTAAGCATTCCACAGAGATGGTCTGTACGGGATCTGCTGTAAGGGGTTTACTGGGCGATCCGTTCAGTCACGAAACATTCATTGCACAGCCACTATGGGGCAGAGGCTGGGGAGTCGAGGCCAAGTAGGTCCCAGTGTCAGGAGCTCAGTCTGGAGGGGAGATAGATGCACAGCCACGATTATAAAGCCAAGAGGCAGGTGTGGGAAGAGCGAGGTCTATGAGCATTACTGGAGCACAGGAAGGGTAACCAAACACGATTGGAGATTGGGGTCACCAGGGAAGATTCCTGCAGGGAGGAAAGGGGGACCCCCTACTCAGGGGGGATGAACAGATGCTGGCAGGAGAAAAGCAGGGAGATGAGATAGAGTCGGCAGGGGACACCTCAGGCAGGGCCCAGCATGCACAAATGCTCACAGGGGAACGGAAGCAGGACGGCTAGAGAAACCAACCACAAACTGGTATTGCTGGGCTGTAACATGAAGACAGGGAGTAGCAAGATAGGCTGGAACAGTCAGCAGGGCCAGACCCCGGAGGCCTGTAAGGCATGGTAAGAGTTTGGACTTCCTCATATACACAAGGGGGGCATCGAAAGGACCTAAGCAGGGCAGTGATGCAGACAAATCTGTGTTTCAGGAGAAAGCAGCAGTGTGGAGGACTGGATGTAGGGGGATCGCCTGGGAGCAGCCTGGGAGAGACACAGCAGGGGCCTATCCTACGAGGACAGGAATAGAAAGGAGGGGATATATTTGAGAAATGCTTAGGGTACAAAATTAGTAGGACCTGTTGATTTATGGATATAAGGAGAAGACGGAGAGGGAGAATTCCAGAATGACTGCCAGGCTTACAGCTTGGGTTACAAAGTAGATGGTGGTACGTTCAACTGAGATTGAGGATTCTGAGGGAAGGCAGTTTAGGAGGAGGAAAACTAGGATCTATTTTGGATAGGAACTTGCGAGTGGGACACCCAGTGGAGATGACCAGCAGGCAGGCGATATTTGAGCTTGTCCCCATGGAGGCAGATCTGAGCTGGAGACCAAGGTCTGAGAGGCTTGAGCATGAGAAACCACAGAAGGGGCTGGGACCCCCTCCCCCCACCCCGTGTTCACCAGGATGCTTTAGGCTGCAGGGAACAGACTACCCACCTAACAGTGGCTAAGACAAATAAAGGCATTTGTTTATTTTGCTTAGTAAGTTTGGAGGTAGCCCTGGGCTGCTTCTTCATCTTGATATGTCATCAAGGACTCAGATCTTTATAGAATTTAGCTCCGCCACTTCTGTTCCTCCAAGAGTGTATGCCCTGCAATACCATGAAGACAGGTGAGGTACCTACAGGACTTGTGACCCCAGGGAAAGAGGAGAGAAAACAACTGGTTAGTAGATGTGATGCCTGCCTTTGGCTGTATTTGGCAAGAGACAAGAAAAGGATAGGCTCAGGAAAGAACTGGCTGGTTGACAAGCAGGAATGAGAGGGAATTAAAGGTCCACTAATTAGTACTTGTGGCTTGGAAAAGGCAACTTCTTATTGTAATTCTAAATTGTAAAAGGTAAAATTGAGAAATGCTTTCAATAAGAAAGGCTAATGAAAACTTACTCTGTGTAGACTTCTGCTTTGGGCTATGATGGAGTAACAGATACTAGACTAGCCCCTACCCACCAAAAACTAGTAGAAAACTGGATAAAATATATGAAACATATGTTTTCAGACATTGGATAACCACAGAACAAGACTGTGTTCCCTGAGGGGAGGAAAGCAAATAAGATGCATTCTATGATCAACCTGACTTTCTGCCTAGAGGCATTTACCAGACCACGGCCCTGGAAACCCAAGCAGAGCACAGAAATCTCACTGTTTTGAGGAGACAGAGATCAGAATTCAGAGAACTGATGCAGCTGGAATTTGCAGAACAGAATACTAGAAG